GCCTCATCGTAGCCGTACATTCATGTTCGTTCAACTGAGAGCACTATTCAAGTCATCGGTATTGATCGAAACTGAGACTCAAATTTTTGCAAAAGAATAGCCACATTCAACTCATAATGGGTGGCAAAAATGTGCGAAAAATTCAAAAAAATTCGGAAGTGTCAAAATCATTTGCAATTAAAAACAAAAGAGAGACATGAGCTCAAACATCCACAAAAAGCAATTTACAAACAATTTTAAACAGAACAGCCCAGATATAAAAACAAACGCGAGCAAAAAGTAAGTAGCACACACAGGTGGGCCTTACCCCCACCATAAATAAAAACATTTTTCCTCAAATATATAACAATAATCCCAAGGTCAAATTAAATAAAGGCAGAGAAAAGGCTAGAGAATAATCCTGGTTAGGCAGTTGTTTCGAGTTGGAATTCTTCAACAGACGTCACGTAAAGTAGAAGGTATGTTGGGGACGTTTGGTGCACTGTTGAGTGATTCATCAAGTTCAATACAGCTTCTCTTAGCATTCCAATGCGCCTACCTCAAACCCACACTCTGGAATGACTAATCAGCTATCATTTTTTGCATTGGCCTACAGCTTATCCAGTTCGTTCCTGCTCGGTGACAGCGCCTTGACTTCTTAGTGATTCGGCGCTTTGCCAAACACTACAAAACTTCTCAGCAGCTGTGGATGTTCAAACGGCGGTGACCCTCGAGGTCGCTGATCAGATGGGTGAATCGCTGAAACCTTCCTGAGCTCACCAAGTTATACAAATTCCAGGCTCAGAGAGTGCCTTGAGTCAAATGGAGAAATAGCACTGATCATCGGTGTCTTCGGCGACCCGCCAACTAGGTCTGCTGCTCGCCATTCTGCACCTCTTTGGCACCTACCACACTTCTAGCTACAAGACAAAACACTATTATTTGTACTAGTATGCAAATATAAGATAATATGGGGTTTTGGGTTGCCTCCCAAACAACGCCTTAGTTAACATCGCGGCACGACGCAAGTCAGCGACTATTCTTCATCCTCAGAGCTGCCCATGTTGTAATTAGGCAAGTCCTCGACAAATGATAGGTAATGGCCTGATATCAAATGGCCGATTTGAGCATCCTGCAGCTGAATGGTCATGGAGTGAGAGGCTGACGCTTCGTTTAGCATTTTGATGTTCTCCTTCATCTCATTTAACATCTTCTCATGTGCCTCGATTTTTTGCTGAATGAGTGACAGAGCTTCATCATCTTGCACGTTTCTCTGCTTTCTCCCATGTTTACACCCTCAAAGGGAGGAGTGTTTTTCTTCTTTCATGGCTTGTGTTTCAAATTCTATGACTCGGGTGGTGGATAGAACATCCAATTGGGTGACTAGTGTGTCCCACTCCTGCTTTCTTTTTGCTTCTTTGTTGGCCTCCACCATGCCATCGAGGAGTTTTTCTACCACTTCATAGGGCTGGTGTAGCACGCTTCCCTCAAAATATTGATCAACTATACTTCTATTCTCGTGTCCTAGACCTCGATAGAAGCACTCCAGTAGCCCCTTATCCGTCATCCCATGAGATGGGCATGGTTGCAGCACCGCTTGAAACTTTAGCCACATTTCTTGAATTGTTTCATCCCCTTCCTGTTTAAATGTTAGGAGATTGTCCCTAAGGTTCAGTAGTTTCAGAAGGTGATGATCTTTGTGATATCCATAATGAATTTCCATCCTTAGTTCTTGTTCTTATATTCACACTAGCAAAACAAAACTACAATTTAGATTAGTATAACTAAAACTAGGAAGAATCAAAAAATTTATTTAACTATGAATTCCCAAATAAATAAAGAGTTTAGTATTTATAGCCATCAGAAATTAGTGTAGGCGGATAGTTCGATGAGGTTAGTCGAGTCCGCCGAATGACTCGGCAACTCGCCCTTCTTTTGTACTCATCGCCGTTGAGTGCTTGCCTACAACATCTTCACATTCTGGACCATAGGGCGGTATAGTACTGCTTCGCGGAACTATTCGGCGAAGCGCCGCCTGCTCCTTTCATCGCCTTTTTGATCCTTTTCCTTCAGGGCTTCGCATACTGGAACAAAAGGGTGGAGTCTGTCCTTTCGGCGAATCGCCAAAGGTTCTTGGCGATGTTCATGCTTCAGCCTCTTCATTCTTTTCAGCCTGTTTGTTCCTTTTTGCGCCTAAGTGTCCATGCTTCCACCAAGACATCAAATACCTGAAACTTAAGAGTTTTCATTAGATATTGAGACAAAATAAGCATTTGAAGACACTATTTCTATCAAAATAAAGCCCTAAATGAGTCCAATTTGTGGACTCATCAGAAATGTCAACTGCTATAGTCAACACTCTAACATATTTCATGCGCCCTCGTTAATTCTATGTTGCTTTTGCTTTTTGTTGCTACTATGTTGTGTTCTGGGCTGTGTAGCTCATCTTAAGACTTTTTTGTTGTTGTTTTTGCTGAACTCTATAGTCTTTTGTTTTTGCTGATGCCAAAGGGGGAGAAATATTATCTTTTGTTAGATCTAATTGCATGCTTACTATCCTATTGTCTCTCTGTTGATTATGTTTTTTTATCCTTATTACTGTTGTTCTCTAACTGGTGAGAAAGCTGGATTAACCTTCACCTTGATAAACTAAGGCAAAGTTTACATAACAATGAAAATACTCGCATAGCTAGTTAAAAAACTTAGTCAACCACCCTTCACCACATTCAGGGGGAGCAAACCAAACATTAGCTCTATAAGTCGACTATATAACAGGGAAGTATCTCTACTACGTACATATTGTCATCATCAAAAAAAGGGGATATTGTTAGTGTAAAGTTTTAATGATAAACAACTTATTCTTGCAGAACAAACTCGTCATCAAAAAGGAAAGAATCAAGAATAAAGGCATCATGGAATTTAAGTTCCCCCATCAATAAAAAATCAGATAAATCACATTAAGGGAAAATTGAAGATTGTCAATCAAGGATCTTGACTCAAGGAACTGTCTAAATGAAGAATCTCAGAAGGCACAAATCAAGGAAGATCACAAAAGGCACAAATCAAGGAAGATATCAAACAGCAACAATAAAGATCAGAAATCGATTCAAACAGCTGAGACAAGGGTAAACAAGGAAGGTCACAGCGGCTACATCCCAATCAACATTAATCAAGGATAGCTGAAGATGTCAACGACTACATCTCAATCAACACACAATCAAGGAAGTTTAAGATCACAAAAGAATCAAGGCTAAGTCTACAAGGAAACTGGAGATTCGCCTTAAGCTTTATTCATGGAAAATAAGGATCCCTTGCCTTCTTTTCGAAGGATCAAATCTCTTGGGTTGTCGATCGCAAGAGGAAAAAATGTAGAACAAGTCTAAATTATCTCACATTCTGTACTCTACTGTTAACAAGCATTGTATTACCTAGTTCTACTGTGTAAACAAAAAAGCGATAAAAGATAACCGTTATTGTTTATTTAAGTAATTTTTCTTGTCTAATCTATCAATTGTCTACTATAAAGATGCTTTTTTTCTTCAATCAGAACAAACAAAAATCCTGATATATATATTTCTTGGTCAAGGAAAACATTAGATTATTTGTTCAACTAATAACTACATCTGTAAATTGTTTTGTTTAGAAAAGAGATAGTCACTGGAAGCTGGGACCTAATGATTTATCTATTTTCAACCTGTGGTGCTTAAACTCTTAAAAATTCTGGTGATATGATTGAAGCATTTCGAAGAAACTCACTTTGTTAGATGGACATATTAACCCTGTTTGGGAATTATTAAATAGATGAAATAGCATAACATTGAAATAATGCATTTCAAATTTCAACAAGTATTGAGGTTGAGTACACTGCCAACAGAAGATATTGAACCAATGGATTTTATATTGTAACTGGAAAACTAAATTCATTATAGAGCTTATTGTTCAAGGCCCATTTATGTGAAATGTCAAAGATACAAATCAAACTGCTCATACTTGGAATACAACTAGACACCAATACAAAGTAAAATAGTGATTAAAAAGGTTCAACTTGGAGAATGAAGTTGGTTAATTTATGCAGCTGCAGTGATGCACTCAATAGCCTGTTTGCAGCTACAGGGTCAGTATCTTTCTCCAATTCCTTTTAGGGTGCATAAATGGAGAAAGTCGTGTAACATAATGTGATAAGTATATTTTTCTGTGTCAATAAAATGTTTTACACTAGTTTATCCTTACATCAATTATATAATGTGATAAGTGTTTTTATCTCACAATTCAATCTCCTTTTTCTAGCTTGTATCAAGTTCCTGCTAATAAGATCCCCCAAATAATCTATTGCCACTTCCTCAAAACTTTTACCATGTTCGGAAGTCCTTATGAAACCTTCTGCAATCCATAATTTGATCAATATCTGAGTCTCAAACTGAAAATCCTCTAGGAAACTACACATAGATAGAAAGCAAGGTTTGAGCTGACTAGGCAAGTGGTGGTAACTCAAACCGAGCACTCCTAAGCATTTTTTGGACAACTAGCAATGGTTTAACTTAAGGTTTGGGCAACATCATTCGAATCTTCTAATGTCCTCGTCACATTAGAGAGATGTCATGCGATCACTGAAATCGTTAAGGGCAGTCCTTGGTATTTTTCTACTATTTCCTGTCCAATTTCTTCCAATTTGGGAGATGATCATGTTTTTGTCCAAACAACTTATCACACGATAACTTCCAATCATTTTCTAAATTCAAAAGGTTCATCTCATGAGGGCTACAAGTATTTGCATACATCGCTACCTCGTTTTTCCTAGTAGTCAATAAAATTCAGCTCCCATTGTTGTAATTCAGAATTATTCCTCTTATGTTATCCCAAACATCCCTACTCCAAATTTCATCAACAACAACAAGGTATCTTCGAACCTTTAGATTCTTTTCCACCAAGTCAGCTAACTCACTCTCATCCATCTCATCCTAATCTTTTTCGTTGACACCATCTGTTTGCTTTGAAATGCAATGCCAAGCTTTTAACAATACATTTCTACCTCTAAATTCTTGAGTATTGTAACCCAAGAAAGAATGTCAAAGTGATAGCTGATCGTAAGCTGATCGTAAGCTTTTTTAGCGAGTGTTGTTTTGTTAATTCCATGCATGCCTAATATTGTGACAATCTCTAGATCCGACAATCGTCCTGTCAATCTTATAATGATGATCTCCAAGTCATCATCAATTCCCTGCACAATATCATTTTCTAACATTGGAAAACTCTTAGAAGAAGTTCCAGTTAAGGAATCCCCCGATAATTCAAGAATTTGATCAACATCATGAGAATGAATGTCCATCACCAAGCTTGTTTCTTTGTTTTACCCATTTTTTCATTAAGTGGTAGCAAATCATGATGTCGTAAAATTCCAAATGTCAAGCTTGAGCCTTTTGAAGATTTGAGAAATCTGTATTTCACCAGCATCCTTTGCCTCACTAGCAGCAACTCTATTTTTTTCCTCCAAAGACTTTTGGAAATATGCAGTGGTAGCACGAAGAAATTTGAGCATTTGAGCAGTGTGACCATGAAAGAGTTCTGGATTTTGTTGGTCAAGTGTTTGAAGAAGAGAGATTACAGCACTATAAGATGCCATCAAGGAGATATGCACAGAAAATTTTTTGTTTCTTTTTAAACAATTTTTGATAAATAAAAAATTAAATCAATGCCAGTTCTGTGTGAAATCAGATCTGTCCAGTTATACAGAGGAGTTATTATTTCACATCCCTTTTAAAAGAATCATTTTTTTAATTTGTTATAATTGAAGAAAATAAGCATATTTACAGTAGACAATTAATAGATTAGACAAGAAACCATTTAATCAAATAAACAATCACATCTATACACAACAGAACTTGGTTTCAACTAACAACTAACTATTCCAACTCTCCCTTACTGTGTCTTGCCGACACTCGAGCTGACCTTACACATAAAATTTCGAGGTGTCTAGATGGAGTAGTATTAATCTGACAGAGTGGAGATGTGTTTGAGGTGTCTAGATGTACATACCTAATGTTGGAGTGTTTACTTGTCAACTGAGACCACATCGAAACGTCTATTTATGTATTACTTGCCAGACCAAATTTGAGCATAGAACATAGAGCAAGATTGACTAATAGAATAAACAACTTAAAAGATAACTTACTCATGGTTAGTTCTTAGATAAAGTGGTTGGGGATGGGGATCTTTCACCCAGAAAACAAAGAAACGGAAGCAAGAAAAGCAAAAAAGAAAAGAAAGACGCACGCAACATACTATGTAGCGTCCTACATGTATTATGAGCCACTTTTATAACGGGGGATATATTTGCTCTAAAAGACGAAGATGGGGAAAACATGTATTATAGTTAAACAAAGGAAATCATATTCAAAGTGTGAAACCAACAATTCTTATTTGTACAACAATAAATACCATTTATAAAATCACACAACACAGAACAAATATTTGTACATCGATAAATACCATTTATGAAATCGCAAATGGGAAATACATGTATTAAACATGCTTATTCCTAAAGCATGAATTCTATAAACAATCAGGACAGAAAAATGAAAAAAATCACTTTTCAAAATATAAACTAAAAGGTTCTGCATTTGGAAGATGAAATTAGAGGGTCCCTCGAAATAAGCTTCAATTCCTTGCATATACAAATTAAAATGCAGACGTCATCCTCTTAATCTGAAGGAGGTATGATTTCAAAGAATTTTTTAGAACTTACTACGACTTCTATGTATGTAGACCTTAAGGGAATTATTTCCCATGTCCTCTTGTTCTTGTACAATATTTCTGGAAGAATCTTCAGCATGAAGGGGACAATAATATAACTCAATTGATTCCAAAGTACAAATTTCCCCAAAATCTCCTGAAATTTCTTGCAATTATTCAAAATGAGGAGTTTTAGATTTGGGAAGTTATCACTGCTAGCTTCCCAACAATTGAGAGCTGAGCTACTCAGTAACAACCACATCACGCTTTTGAACTTGTGTTCATCACTTATATCCCATTCATCACTCAATCTAAATTCAGTACTAAAGGTTCGACAATGTTTAAGCTTGAGCTCTTCAAGATTTGGCAAAGTGATAAGAATTGATGATATGTCTGCCAAACAAAATGATGACACCTAGTTAATGTAAACCTCTTAAGTTATGTTGGAAAAACAACACTCTTAAGGGGGTCTTCCAAATAAGGTGGTTCGTCAAACTGTAATACTTCGAGTTTTGTCAATCTGGACATATCCAAAAGACGATAAGGAATCTCATTTTGGACATAAAGTACACTAATGATCAATACTTTTAGATTGGAAATGCCAAGATAATTTAATTCAATATGATTCTTCACCTCCGTTGATCCTACATTTGCCTCCACTGTTGTTGTTTCAATCTCCACCAAAGCTGCCTGGGATTCTCTCCGTACTGCGTATGCGAAAAAATCTCAAACAAGAATTTTGAGCTTGCGAGACCGACTGAATTGCCTCACTAAAAACACTCATCCATTCGTAGATTAGCTCCATCAAGTTCGATCACTTTGTGATGAATTTGCAACTGCTGGTGCGCCTGTATTGAATCAGAACTCATTGTTAAAATTATCAGTGGACTTAGATCTGAATTTCGAGAACTCTCTGCTTCATTCGTGCTCAAGATTCAACAATTTCCTATGTAGAGCTTTACTAAAAGCTTCTGGATCACGAACATTTCCTAAAGTATGATGACGACAAGAAACCACTATCAACAAATATCACCATTGTTGTAGCACAAAAGACAAACTCAGCTCCTCCTAGCCAGGGTAAGAATAATTAGTCCCGCAATGGCCATCCAGGTGTGAACACTCCTTCCAAAAATCAGCAATGGTAGGCACAACCAACAATGTGATCGCGCAGGTTAATCCGCTAGGATGTGTAGATCTCAATCCTATAACCATCTGCAAGCTCGGGCAAACATTTCTAGCCATTTTCCTCCTCAACAGACCCCTTTGATGTTGGACAGTAGAGCCACTCATCATGTTGCATCTAATGCTCAAAGCCTAGACATTGTACATGACTACCACATCACTGAAGAGATCACTATGGGAAATGGTCACACCATTCCAATATCCAATACTGGTAACACTAAAAATCATCATTTCAAACATCTCAATACCTTATGCTCCCCTCTCATAAATACTAATCTTATTTTTGTCTCTCAGTTTTGTTGTGATAATCATTCCTCGATTGAATTTTTTCCTTTCCATTATCTTGGGAAGGATATGAATACGGGGGCGTCTCTAGTTCGCGGGCTGAATAAAGATAGGTTGTATGTGTCACGCCCTGAACTACCCCCGGGACGCAGACACGGGATCTAGGACCACAAGTGATCCCAAGCTAATCCTGCTAGCATGATCACGAGCATACTAAAGATAATAAACTTGTGCGGAAGCTAAATCATAAATAAAAAGAAAACATGGGGAATACCCATATACTATAACTGAGATAAATGAAAACTGATGAGTTTAATACAAACAAGATATTAACTCAATACTAAGATGAATCTAACTATGTCTGAAAATAGCCTCTAACTGACTAGAAATACTGGGATAGGCCCCAGCTAAGTCTAGCAAAACTGAAACTAAAGGACATAAAATACTAAAAAGAAACTCATGACTATTGTCCTCGGAGAATAAGGACTCACTACTGATTCCGTTGAACTGGAATCGAGAACCGATCTAAGCATTATCTGGATGCTAAGAACCTGAACCTACATCACGAGAAGATGTAGCGCATGTATGCGTCAGTAATTGAAAGCTACTGAGCATGCAGGATAGCATAAAGCTGAAATAACATATAACTGAACAAAGAAAATAAGCAATTGATATAATATGAACATGATATAGATACTGAATACTGAGCTAACTGAATGCAATGACCTAATTTATAACATGCTAAGACTGAATACTGAATATACTGATACATGGTCAATGCAAATAGAATCTGACTGAACTGTGGCAGCTACTAATAACCGATAATAAAACCACATGAGCTAAATGTGGAGTCTGATGTATATGCCCCCATCGAGAAGACCCAATATACCCTGCCAGAGGTATAGATGCATGATGGTGTGATCACTGATATAATGCACACAGAGGGGACTTACAACCTACGTGGCTAGTAGTTTTGAGACTATTTGGGTATGTTGAACCCTAGTCCAACTCGGTATTATGCTACTCCTAATGGATTAAGTGATTAACACATTATGACTGAATTTCTGTAAGTTACTGGATAGCTCAAAATGGACATGCAAACTGAGTATGCAACAATTAACTGATATTGATGCATTAATAATTGAGGCATGTATAACTGAATAACTGATATATCTAACCTAGCATGTGTAATTCAAGAACTAAAGAAATACATAGCTAGGGTTCTGGAATTCATGCAATAAACTGAATATTAACAGACTAATCTGATTTGGATCATTCTAACAGTTAAGAACCCAATAATTCTAACATTCAAGAAACCCTAGGTCTAGTTATAATAAGGGAATCAAGAAACTGACTGAAAACTAGGGACCTAATGGGTGAAAGGAACCCACTAGTGAAATCCCACATACCTGGTGACGAATTTCACAGAGAAATCCTTTGATTTCTTGGCTAGAACTGAAGAAAACTTGTTGTGTTCTTAGAGTTAGGGCTGGTCGATTTTTACTCCTCTCTTGCTTCTAATTTTCTAAGTTTTGATTGATGATTTGACTTAGGTAAATTGTAGTTATGTTTCTAGGCTTAAACTGACAAGAACCTCACAATTTAGGGTCTAAACGACGTAGCTTAGGGGTCCAACGAAATAGGAAAAGACAAAAAGACCCCTGACTTAACTGTTGTCGGAGCGACCGACGGACGGGACTTACGGGCCGTAGGTCAACCTACGGTCCGTAGATTGGGGTCGTAGGTCAAGTCTGCCCGACAGCGCTTCACTAAAACGAGAATAAATTTTTACTTGGAGGTCGGAATTTAGCAAACTCGATGGCGTTGGAAAGAAGATTCAATTATCTATGATATCATAGGTCATAGGATACATAATTCCTTTTGTGCAGGGAGTGATGACCATTTCAAGTTGACCCAATCAACAATTTCCCCCTAACTGGCTGCTGACCTTTACTAACGATCAAACCTACAGACCGTGGATCGAACGATGGTCTGTGCTGGTAGGCCGTTGTTCACATCAGAGGCTGGGTAAAGGGGGCCTCGATCCACGGACACAAACCTCAGACCACCTACAAACCCTGGGTCAAGATTTAGCTGATTTTTTGAGCTGGGTTTGGGGAGGGTGTCACG